AGCATGTACCKGTAGTAATTTGACTTTTTTAATGAAAGTATTCCGATATGTGCTAGCCTGCGTGGCGGCTCTAGGGGAGAGGAAAGGGGGAAAATGGAAGGGGAAGGGATGGGGAGTGAAACAAAAACTTTTTTTCCGCTCCGCCTCCCCACCCCCCCCCCCCCCTAGAGCGCCACGCAGGCTAGATGTATGCTAAATGTCCTTCGGTCAACTACAGCTTATTTTTCAAGTGTTTTTGTATTATGCACGGCTTTAATAATGCAGTGTGTTTACTATTTTCTTAGATGGTAGCTCTGACACCAGCCCAACAGCATCTGCATCAGTTACATATCTTCCTTCATTGCTTCACTTCCATGAAGAAATAATGAAAATATTAGACATCAAACCTACAGTCCCTAAAATGGAGTTGGAAAGGMGAGACGCCATAATGAAAGAAATAGAAAAYGCTTGTGATTGGACCATACAGAAAACAGACWTCAAAGACACCAAATTAGGAATTTATGATAATATTGTRTTATTTTTAATGAATTTTAAAAATCGATTTTTCAGATAAGGAGATCGAGATATTCRAACTGCAATAATATCACATTCGATGATCATTCTCATCGTTTTATTGTCAAATATCTTGCAAAAATAGCAATTGTTATCAGTCCCAATGCGGGACTAACACATTAGCGAACTTTGCAAAATTATTTATTAAAAAAAGTTCGCAATTTTTATGATTACGTATAAGGTTAAAAATACAACTATAACAAAGTGGATACTCCGTCCTAAAGGCGTCGTAAAGGACTGGAGTAACCACAAAAAGTCAATCCATTAACATTGTATTAGTTGTAAAGATGTAAAAACAAAAACAAAGTGATGTTTSCATATATCATAAATAATATTGTATTTWTTGCAAGATTATTTAAAACTTTACAACAATGTCAATAACATTATCTGAAATCTTAGAGCAACATCCTTGCAGGGGATTGAAAAGCACAATTTTATGCATTAGTCACTTGAATCATGAAATAGAAACTAAATACTTAGTAGAGTGGTTCTCATTAACCTGTGAAACAAAGTGTAATAGTCAAAGTGTAATAAAGTGTAATAGCCAAGAAA